GCGGTACAGAAGCTTCCTTATTCTCCCGTTTCTTTCTCGTATTAAACATTAATGCAGAGAAACTGAACTGCGGTGGGAAGCTGTCGTCTGTGACGTTTGGGGTAATAATCCAGCCCATCCTGGGCACATTTGTTAGAATGTCAGCGACACATTAAATCCAAACTTTAAAGACCTTTAATAGCAGTAACAGCAGGGAGTCCTGCATTTACACACAGAGGCTGTAAAACAGACTCATCATAGCAGAGAACTGGTAAAAGATGATTTGATTTGAGATCAAAACACGACAGTGACGCTCCAGTAGAGACTGATGTACACTTTTATTATTAACATGAACAAATGCAGTTACTTTATACAACATTTAATGTAAAAGTAAGCCAACAGATGAATGTGAGTGGAAATAAAACTCTAATGTTCAAAGCAGTGATGGCATCAGGTTTACAGGTTTTCCTTTGGAGAACGCCTTCAGTTGATGTTTCTTAGTCGGCTTTCTGTCCTCGGGCTTCGTTTGAGACTGAAAATCTGCTCACTGACTCGGTTCCTCTCTTTGATATGAGCTGGTTGACTAATACGTGCATTTTTGTTTTAAAAGAAGTTGTGGGACTGTCATGTGAAGACTTGCTGAACTCGTTTCAGATTGAGAACTCCAGGGTTGTGTTCCATTGTTCATGCTACTGTCCTGTATCGTACGCCAGCAATAGATTTGGTTCTTTGCAGTATATCAGAATGCTAACATACCAGGAAGTCCAACCAAGTATACCAAGTATATAACCAAGCAATGACAAGTATAAATATTCACACTACTTAATTAAATACATGGTTGCAAGATTTTTAAAAAAACAAACAACAAAAATTAAATAAATGTATTGATTTGAAATGTACACTTCCCTCATTTCACAGTAAAACAGGAAAATGTCAGACAATTATGTTATAAAGATTTAAAAGTATTTAACTAAGAATACTGCTTTGACAATATTTAAAATGTATTTCTTATATGATTCGAATCTTGCTACATGAAATAAAGCAGTTGTTTCTGATGCTACATTCTTAATTGGTGCATGGCATTCATCTATGCAACCACATCAACCAAAGATGAGTAAAGAAAACGAACTTTATCGGTGGAGTATTTGTAGAATGGTTTTCCAAGTGCATACAAATATGATAAGAGGAGGAAATTGTTATGACAGAAGTCAAATATACAACACATGAGATTAAACAAGATACAACACATTACCGAAAATTGAAAAAAAAGTTAAGCTAAGGTGAGACAAGAATAGAAACGTATAAGTAACACTACAATGCTTCTGAAATAGTCCAGTAATATTACACATGACAATGAAGTACACCTGAAAAAGTAAACGATGCACGTAATTGGCTCCACATGCTATACATATTTAACTACACGAAGCAAATTCTGTAAAAACACAAAAAATCTCAGTTTTTCAGCAGTTAGGACAAAAATTCCCGTTTCACTGAACAGCAGTGTTTATAGAAAGCAGAGAGAAAACCAGCACGGAAACTGGCTGAAAATGTAAACAGTTAGCATCAGTTGACTTTGTGTTTACATGTACAGGTCCATTGCCGACTACGACGGTCCTGTTTGACAGGTCCACATCCGCCAGGGTCGCAGGTCCCCTGTTGTAGTTCTATTATGAAAACAGACCCTAAAAGAAAATCCATCCATCATCTCTACACCTTAACCCTCACCAGGGTCATTAGGGGGCGGAGCATATCCCAGCTGACTCAGGGTGAAGGCAGGTTCACCTGGACAGGCAACCAGTCTATCACAGGGCTACACTTAGAGACAGACAACCAAGCACACTCACATTCACACCTACGGACAATTTAGAATCACCAATTAACCTCAGCATGTTTCTGGACTGTGGGAGGAAGCCGGAGAACCCGGAGAGAACCCACGCTGCACGGGGAGAACATGGAGACTCCACTCAGAAAGATCCCGGGTGTCCTCACCGGGACGCCAACCGGCGACCACGGCCACGGTGCTAACCACTGCTCCACCCTGCAGCCCTATGTCATTTAATTTTTGGCTCTTTAAAGCCACCAGGGCCGCTGGTCCCCTGTTGGCAGCATAGGTAGGCGAGCCCTTCTTGGCTTGGTAGACATGTAGGTGTGTGAGTGTCCAGCTGCTGCCGGCTCAAAGGAAACAGTTTGAAGTAAATAATTCACCAGCTGCTATTATACAACGATTACTACAGTGCCATCCAACCTCTGAACACACTTACACACACACCAGCACACTGACTGATGCCCGGTTGAGTCCTCGGAGGCGCCGCTGCTCAGAGCGCTCGTGAGGACGGACTGGAGGCTCTCATGAGGACGTTGGAAGCTTCAGACTTTGTTTCTTGGCTCAGGTTGACATCAGGTCGACTCCAAGCTGCAGGTTTCACATTTGTCCTCACGGCTGGCTCGTGTTTTACTGCAACATGAAGTCCAGCACTTCTGTAGAGACAGAACAACCATGAAGGAGGACAGAGAATAGATACGATGACTCAAATCATTACAAGTTTCTTTATTTATCACACAAATGTTTTTAACATCTGGATTTTCCAAGTGCATACAGAAATGTTTCTCAACTCGCTATAATATGAGATTAAATGCAGATAACAGAAAAACAACAAGATATAACACATGACTGAAAATTAAAAATAACAAAAAGTAAGCTAAAATAAGCCTGGAATAGAACACTGGTCACACTGGTGATGATTCTGAGGTGGTGTCGTCATCGGACACATGAAGATGTAAATAATGGAGGTTACCTGGGGCTAAGCACATTCAACCATTTACATATTTAATGAGCTTCCACACTAGTTTTCTCTCTACGTTGTGTACACACCGCCTGCAGTTCAGCCGAGAAGTGGATGTGGTCACATGACTGCTGAAAAAGAAAAGAAGAAAAGAACTTGCTTTGCGTAAACACGTGATTTTTGTAGAAGTATTTATGTGGAAGATGAAGTGATTCTGATGGAGAAGTTTGTCGATGGAACCAAACGTCCTAAATGACACGTTTGAGGACGGCTGGGAGAACTGATGTTGGTCCTGGTTTTGTGGTTTCTGGCTGCTAAATGTTATCTGATGATTTATGAAAAGATTCTTTAGATGTTTGTCTGTCGGCTGGGTTGTGATTTCAGACTTTTTTTTCATAAGTTTTCTGTTGATCCAACGGATTTAACTAAAACATCGATCATAGACCATAAACCATAAACCATAAACCACAGACCATAAAGTCCCGTAATGTGCTGACGGCTTGTCCGGATGGTTCTGAGTCGTGTCGCTCCTCTGGATAAATGAAGCCTGTTTGTCGTTTTAAATTCGACAGATGCAGGGAACTCATTGGGAAGAAGTTCTGGTGTGTTCTGCTTCACCGACTGTGGATGAAGCAGAAGAAGACGAGATGTTTAGCTTCGGTGTCACTCGTTGATCCCAGAGCAGCTCTGAGTCGGACCGTCAGCAGGCGGTTTCCGGGCTGCGCCTCGTGTTCACGTTTACACTCTGGATTAAAGGCAGATCAGAACCAGAGGCTCTGGATCACAAAGAGAAACACGAGTGAGCCGAAACAACCATCAGCTGCTCCGAACAACGTGAGCACACAGGAGGCGCAAACAGAGTCGATGGAAGCGTCTCATAGAGTCTTCTGTCCAAACACACAGAGACTCAGACGTTAAGACACAGAAGCAGCAAATGTTGTGGTTCAGTTTTTGCTTTTCATTGGTTTGAATATTGTCCTTTAGCCGTATAAATAACTGGTGATTAATTTACGATTGACGTGTTTTTATAGCATGAAAGGCGTCCTGCTGATATAACGCAGTCACAACGTAAAAGGTTAACTTAGCAACTCGTTAAATGCTTTATTCTCAATAAACATCTTTGTTTCTGGTGAATGTTTTCTCTGTGGTGGTGGAATTAAGGACAAGATGCAAAAATAAAATCACAATATAGATTTTTATTTTTTTTTTAAGTGTTTTGTGATGTCAGTAAATTAGATTTTCTATTAATAATGTTGGTTTTCTTTCATAGTTTTGATTTTAATCGTTCTATCTTAAGTCAAAACTGAAATTATCTCAAAATGTTAATTTTCTTCTCATAATTCAGGCTTTGTGTCCGTTAAGTCGGACTTACTACGTCAGTATCTTATTAGTTCAGAATGTTTTTTTAAGAATTCATTTTTCTGTGTCCAAATATTTACTTTTTAAAATAAATCTTAGCTTCGCGTTGATCTAATATGTTGATAAACTGTGTCAGTTAAAAACAGCTCATCTCAACACATTTCGGGTTTGTTTTGGGTTTTATCTCATGAGTCTGACCTGAAGTCAGCATCCTGAGAAGTGATCCGACCGTTCTGATTTATTGAATATAGATTCAGACATCATGTAGGTTTATGTCTCATCGTTTGGACTTCTGGATCTGTGTCATAACAAACATGTTTTATTTCATTGTGATGGGTTTTCGTCTTATTTCTAATTTTTCTGGTGGAAGCGTGTTTCTGTTGAGTCCTGGTTCTGAGTTTTGTGGCAGACGTCCACGTGGTCGCTGTTCTGTTCTAGTCGAGCTGAGAGAAGCGGCTTCGCTCTGAATTATTGAAGAGCTGCTGTGGACTCGGCCTTCCCGTCCTCACCCTCCTCACCCTCCTCCCCGTCCTCCCCGTCCTCACCCTCCTCCCCGTCCTCACCCTCCTCACCCTCCTCACCCCTCAAGTTCAAGTTTTTCACGTCTCTTTGTAGTTTTTAGCGTCTGTCTGTAGTTTTTAGCGTCTCTTTGTATTCGTCAGTTTTTGTAGTTTTCGGAGTCGTTGTGGGTTTTACTCTCTGTTTGCTGTGGTTCTGGTTCTGATGTGTTCGTGTTCAGTTTTCTGGTTGTTGTTCTGATGCTGTAGTCGTCAGACGTGGATCTCTGTTGAAGGTGGACGAGGACAGAAGTCCACCAGGAGCAGGTTTCTGCTGGGTCGCCCTGTAACCAAGTCTTCCTCTCCTCCTCCTCCTCCTCAGACGTGGCTGAAGAACTACGGCTACCTGCTTCCTCATGACGTCCGCACGTCGGACCTGCGGCAGGAGAAGGCCATGCAGTCGGCCGTGGCGGCCATGCAGCGCTTCTACGGCATCCCAGTGACCGGAGTCCTGGACCAGACCACCATCGAGTGAGTCACCGACACAGAACCGGGAGTACCAGTACACAGAACCATTAGTACACATACACAGAACCATTAATACAAGTACACAGAACCAGGTGTAAAAGTACACAGAACCATTAGTACAAGTACACAGAACTGGTAGTACAAGTACACAGAACTGGTAGTACAAGTACACAGTATTGTGTAGTTGTGTTGTGTATTTGTGGGTTTGTAGTGTCCTCTGAGGTT